TCTCTTCCAGGCCCCCCTGCCCTGGGGTAGCTTAACAGCACTTCCTGCCCCGTGCTTCAGAGATCCTTTTAGGTCTCCTGTGGCCTTCCTAAAAGTATAGTGGATGCTTCTCTGCTGATGATGAGAGATTCAGACAAGCCACTTAATGATTAAGAGACAAGAAGTGTTCTCTAAGAGATGGGGAAGCATGATTCTTGCTTTGCTCAGTCTGGATTCCCAGACAGACACGGAGCATGGACGCCACTCATTGCCTATTTGGGAGGAAGAGAAGGCGGCTAGCCCTGGAGAAGAATCAAACACTTGGGGGCAGCGGGGACTGAAGGAATGAGCGCATTTGGATTTCAAGGCGAAGTTGCTAGATTCCTTGAGGCGGGCGATAGACAACAGTCAGGCATCCTTGGGCCATCTCAACTGGTGATGTTGATGGTAGGTTTTCCAGTGTGAATCCTTGGTTTGTATGGCTGGCAGGGAGGGACCTGGGGGCTAGAACGTTTAGGACGATCATCTCATTTTACAGAGATGAGAAATGAAATGCCCAAGTTCTCGTGGCTGGTTGGAGGCTGAGGGACTGAAGCCCAAGTCTCCTGACTTGTGGTTCACTGCTTTTTCCTGGGCAGCCCACAGATAGGAATTCTCTTCTATGCTTAGGGCTCTGTGCGTGCATCGAAGAGAAGGAAATGCTGTTACAGACAGCCTACTGGGGAACCAGCAAGAGCAATGGCATGCCGTGGATGGGACTTTCAGAATCTTACTGCCCAGACGCCTGGGCACTGCAGCCAGGGGAGAGGGCTGGTATCAGGTGGACGGGTTGCACCTAAGGGCAGACTTTTCCAGGAGCCAACACCCTGGCTGTCCCTCCCCTGGCAGCAGGTCTGCCCCCTCCATACTCTAGCCAGGACTGAAAGCCAACTGCTCCTGGGCCCCCATCTGCCCCCTCAGCCTGCAGGTTAGCAGTCGAGAGGGCCAAGTTTGTTTCTGCCCATTTCTGGACAGCAGTGACCTCTCCATCACTGGGGAGCTCATTACCAATCAGGGGCCCTAAGGCGGCCTCCCCTGACAGCCAGTGAAGATGAAAGCAATAATGTGCGGGCTGTTCTGCAGCCCCTGGTCACCCTGGTTTTATTAAAGCCAAAGTCTCAGGCATCACTAATGAGGATAAAAGGCTGGCAAGGAATATAGGATCTGGGGCTGAAACCTCCTAAGAAAGGGGGTGGGGCAGAGCAAGGATCTGGCAAGACCACCCAAGGGGGCTGAGCTGGGGCCCAGCTTTCCAGAGAGGGAGGTGGCTGCCAGGAAAAGCTGACTCTCTGTTTGCTTAGCCCCCCATCCCTCTATTTACTAAAAAGTAACCTGTTTATGTTCCTTTATCAAACAGGCCAGGCCTCTGCTGCCTGCATGTACAGGGGAACAACACCCCCCTTGATCCATTGAGCCAAGGGCAACCAACTTGTGGTCAGGCCCCATGAGGCCCAGTCACCCACGGCAGAAGGTCCTGGGCCCAGCTGCAGGCCCCTTGACTCCTGTTTTCTCTCCGCCTGCAAGTCATGTGGGGATCTTGGCTCTTTCCCTTTCCTATGGATGGAGAAAGGAGTTCACGGTCGGGAGCAGGGACCAGGGTGGGGGTAGAGAGCCCCACCCCACGCTGTAGACTCAACACCCGTGTGCTGTCCAACTGCCACAGTCCTGTCCAAGAAAGGGCACCTCTGCAGAAAAGAGGGGGGCGCTGCTGTGTCGGTGCTCCCCTGGAGGGAGCCATCCTTGAGAGCGGTGCAGAGAGCTGCACTTGATTCCATTTACCCGGAGAGATCTCCCACACCCCAAGCCAGTCTCCTGAGTCCATAAACAAATCAACTCAGACTCTCCCAAATAAGACAGCCCTTAAAAGGGCCACTCTGCATCACAGGATGACAGTGGTAGGGAAACCAGTCCCTTCAGAGGGGCCACAGGATTCCTTCCAGGCCCGGCCCTGATGGCAACATTGATGTGGAGAACCATTCCTTCCAGGGCTCTCCTGGCTAAGATATGACCATGTGTTTCTACCTGCATTCATGTAGCTCTTCTTGTGCTCGGGCCACCTCCGAAGCACGAGTAGGTGTAAAGCAAGGCCTAGCCCCAGAGGGGCCTCCAGTCACCAGATGCTGGTGGGAGGGCATGGCGGCAGCAGAGGGGGGGACTTGGTAACACCTGTGGCTCAGGGGCAGAAGGTGCTACAGGGGTGTGGGGGAGAGATGCTCTCTGTGGGCTGGACCCTGGGTGAGGACCCCTGCAAGATGCATAAGACTGTCTATGCCAAGACAAGAGGAGGAACATTCTGGCAAAAGGGACCAAAGCTACATCAGCCCTGTGGAGCAGAGGATTGGCATAGAGGAATAGAGAAAATAATCAGGTGAGGTAGTAAGACGGGACCCCATTGTTGAGGGGCCTCAATGCAAGCTAAGAAGATGGGCCTTGATTCCAGAAGCCAAACAAGGGGAGCCACTGGGGTGTTCAAGCAGCAGGCTTGATCTATATAAATGGGCACCAGAGCACTCACTAGTCGCGCAAGTTACTTAACTTGGGCCAGCTACTTCCCTTCACCAAACAGTCCTTTCCTCCTGTTTGCAGTGGGGATGATAAGAGCACCTAGCTTGTAGGGCTGTGGTAAGACTCACTGAGATCATTTGGCAACAGACTTGGCATATGGCAGACACATAAGAGTGTTAGTTCTTCTCGCTGTTACTGAATCTGAAAGGTTTCTCTAACTTTGGGCAGGAATGAACCTAGGAGGGTTATGAGGGAAATAAAGCGAGCCAGGGGCCCCCTTGTACCTCAGTGCCTTGGTCAGAGATAGAACTTTCAGCCAGGTGCACCGGGGACCTGCTACCTTGATGGAAAGGTCACACTCCCTCAACACCATGTCACAGGGCCGTTTCCTGTGTCTCCCTCTTTGGACTAGGGGACCAGGGAGACAGGAGCCACACCTGAGGGAGATGGGGACCCTGGCACCTTCTTCTAACTGGTACACCCCACGAGACCATGTGTGTGTTGAGGGAGGGACTGTGTCCTCGCCACAGAGCACGGAGCCAAGGTCTAGAGGAGCCAGGGTCACCTTGGGGTGCTCCCTGGGTCAGCTGGAAGGTGCTCCAAGATAGAGAGTTTGAGGAGCGCTCTCCTGAGTCGAGAGTCCAGCTGCATCTCCCACCAGCTGTGTAAGCCTGGGCAGAGCTTCGAGACCTGAGTTTGAACACTGAGCTCTTGAGTCTGTGAAGTGGAGGGAATAAGGACAACACTCCCCGCCTCACAGAGTTGATGCGCGCATAGGAGCTCGTAGGTGTGGGTCTCAGCGCCCAGCTGTGCGGCGCCACGGGGTTCTGTGTGCTGGAGGGGGTCCCGCCTCTACAGAGCGTACAGCTCTGCCCCAGCCAGACCCCCTCCTGGGGAGCTGGGGGTTTCCCCTTCTCCTACTCTGGGATTTAAAGACCAAGACTGAATCTCGCGCTAGGGCGAGGGTGGGTACCAGTTCCACCTAGAGGAGAGCCCTGGGACCACATGCTCTGGCGGGTGATGGGAGAGGCTTGGATTGTCTCCAGCTGGGGCCAGGTATCAGGTGTCTCTAGGAGCCCCCGGTCAAGGGGGGTTCTTTGTGAGGAGAGGGAACAAAAACCTTGGTGTCACCCTTGACTGCTCTCTTTCTCGCACATCGCCTCCTCAGGGAGGCCTTCCCTGGCCAGACTGTCTAAAATTCAAACAACTAAGCCTCCCCCTATGTGCATTACACATCCTCCTGCCCTGCCTTACATTTTTCTCCTTGATACTTTGAACGGTCTTTTTATCTTTTTTTCTTGTCCTGTGCCCAAGTAAAATGTAAGCTCCGTAAGGGCAGTTGGGGCAGGAGGGGGGGGGGTGTTGTATTTTGTTCTTTCCCATATCTCTAGCACCCAGAACAACACCTGCACACAGCAGGTGCTGAGTGAACATTGGTTGATTGACTGAACGAATGAATGAGCCAGTGGATGGCCCCATCTGAAATCAGAGCCACTCCAAACCATGCCCTCTTCCTCCACCCAGTGTCAGGGGTGGGGGGCATCAGGCCAGCCTCAGAGCCTGGGGGGAGGTCTGGCAGCAACAGCATCCTCCTTCATCAAGTGGGGAGCAGGGAGAGGAAGCAGTCCGGCAAAGTGCTATTTAACTTGACAGACAGACATGCTTACCCACTTTGAAGTTTTCATCTTCCCCATTACTGAGAAACTTCCTAGGATTCAGAGCCCCGGGGGGCAGGCGAGGTAGCAGAGTGTATAGTCCCTGCCGGGTCATATTTGAAGGATGATCACATCTGAGGGAAAAAGGACAAGGTGGATCCGAGACATGGAGACGTGGCACAGACCTGGGATGGGGAGTGCACATCTCCTTGGTGGGCAGCATGGCCTGAGCCAGGTCACGATCCCTTGTGCTTTCGTGCCGAGGTCTGGAAGTTAGAGAGCTGGGCAGGTCTCTGGAGAGGTGGGGAAGCTGCTGGGCAGAGGGACTTGTGAGGAACAACGAGCTGGGGGCTGGAAGACCTGCCGGGAGAGAGCGCTGGATGGCCAGAGGGTGTCTTGTGCAGGACGCTGTCATGACCACAGCCAGGCAGGGGGCTGGGGTGTGGGGTCAAGGGGACCAGCGGCCAAGAAGGGCGAGCTGGAGGGGAATGGGGCTGGGCCACTCTGGGGCTGCTGGTCTCGAGGCTACAGCCAAGGGGCACATGGAGGGCAGGGCAGGACACAGCAGGATGGCAAGGACCAGGACCAGCACCTGAGCAGAGTTGAGAAGGAACAATGCACGGGGCAGATTCTACTGAAGACGCAATATCGTTATCATTGTCTTTTATTCCCAGGTACTCCCAGCATGGAGGCCAGACCCTCGGGTCCAAAAGATGTGGTACTCGGCCTCAAAGAGCCTTCTCCTGGGCCCCAGAGTGGCCCGCGGCAGTGGCCCTGGGAGCCGTGTGCCTCTCATCTGCCCTCTTGTCTGCTTCTTTGCAGGAAAGCGTGGATCTGGGAGAGATCATGTTCTCCTTGTGCTACCTGCCCACAGCGGGCCGGCTCACCCTCACAGTGATCAAATGTCGGAACCTCAAGGCAATGGACATCACAGGCTACTCAGGTACCTCTCCTCCCCAAGTGGCCTGCCAGCCACCCAGACGTTAGCACCTGGAAAGATGCTTAGAGAGAAGGGGGAAGAACTGTCAGTACTCTTAGAAGAGGAGCCCCAGCTCTGGATTCCAATCCCAGTTCTGTCCCTTCCTCACTGTGCAATGCTTTGATTTCCGAATCTGAAAAAAATAACTTATGCAGGTTGCTTTAAGGGATAAATGAGTTCATTCGTGTAGGTGCTTAGAGTTCTGCCAGACACATAATATACACTCAGTAGACATTAGCTCCTCCTATCATTTTCCCTCAAAGGAGAGAGAGAATAAGAAGTAAAGACGTAGGAGAAAAAAAAAAAAAATACAGAAAATCTTTCTAGTTATACGAGGCCCCAGGACTTTCAAGGGTTTTGTCAAGTTTGAGTGTGTAAATGTTTGTAGGTCAGCACAGCCCCACGCAGCCCTGCAGACCTAGTCACAGGGGCAAAGCCGCTGCAAAACCAAGTGTATTTGTACTTTGAGTTTTTCCTGCGGGGCTCCCGGCCCCAGCCTCAGCACCAGGATTGCAGTTAGGTACAGAAACAGTCCTGTTCTAGCAACTGAGCCAAGGCTTGCTTGGGGGCCGCTGCTGAGACGGATCCTTTTCCATGATTCTGCAAGTCGTTGTCAGAGAAGGTATTTGAGTTTTGATACAACAGAGGCTTAGTTTGAGTCCCAGGAGCTTCCTTCCCCCTGTCGGCTCACATTAGCCTGAGAAGAGAAATGGGGTGAAGTGTTCCGAAGAGCAGAGGCGCAGAGCAGCCTGGCTGCACTCAGAGTTGCAAATGTAGGAAAAGGCTTGTTTCCCTGGACCCATCACCCAAGAGGCTCTTCTGACGGATTAGATTTCCAGTGTAAAACCACTCCAGAGGTGCCAATTTTTCCTTTTATTCATTATTTATTTGCCTGGAAAACTCCTTAGTATCGTCACAGTTGCCATAAAAGGGGATTGGGTCCAGCTGCAAACCTCCAGGCCCACGTGCAACTTGGTGTAGTTGGAAGGACATGAGGTATTAGACCTTGAAAAATGAGGTTTCGGGGAAGCTGGTTGGAAAACGCTAAAGCAACGTGTATTTGTTGCCGCTTTGACCCCCTGGGAGCCTCTGCTCCCAGCCCCCACTGTCTCTGTGCAGCATTCATGTCTTCCAGGCCAAACGCTCCCCAAGATCGCGCCCACCCTAATGCCTCTCCTTCCACTGAAGCTCTTCAGGGAGGGCGTGGTGGGAGAGCTTGAAGAGCCTCTTCCGACATGTGCAGAGCTCTCAGGCCCCAGCACGTCGGCTTCCTCCAAAACTACAGCCAATGTAGATTCCATTTTTGTATCAAAATAAGTGCATGCTGAGGAGAGAAATTCACTGAGGACTCTCAAGGCTGCTAAGGGAAATAGGATTTTGCTGCCTAAGTCCCCACACTATCTTCTCTGGAGTAATTAAATTGATGTGCTAGAGAGAGCTTATGGCGAAGCCACTGAGGTAACCATAAGGGCCGTTCCACATCAGAGGGTTGGGGGGAGAGATTTTTCTCATGCTAAATTCTAATCTCCCTTTTGCAATTGACCCTCTTTTCTACCTGGGTTTGGAATCTGCTATTAAATCGCAGCTTGATTCTGACAATTCAGGGGTCCTCTTTTTGTTAGGTTCACAGATGTAAGCAAGTGTCTGGAACAGTGCATGCAACACAATAGGCATTGAATAAATATGTTTTGAATGAATGAATGAAGGGATAGCACGAGGAGCCTTGTCAGAGGGTGAAACAGTGTGGGCATGCATGCCAGGGGCCTCTCAAACTAGATCTCCTGTTTTTGAGGATGAGTTTCATGTTGCCTTCGGCCCAGACTGCTTGGATATTGGGCTAAAGCAGGGAGTGAATGGAGCTTATTGCCTGTTCTTGATTCCTATGACATTGACTGCCAAACCTGAGGGTCTTCCTAGTCTCCTCGATTTAACTAGTCATGACTCAATTCCCTAAGCCCATCCACTGGAATGATGACGATGAAAATAACACAAAATAATAATAAGGATCAGGACACCACAGAAGGGTGGTGAGTAAAAGCACCCATCTCCTCCACCAGCTGGTCTGTACTGATTTGAGTCTAGTGGTTTAAAGTGTAAACTTGGGAGTCAGACAGACCTAGGTTCAAATCTGAATCTCTCTAGCCTCCATCTCCCTATCCAAGAAAGGGGATGACGATGATAGATACTTTATGGCATTGGTGGGAAGCTTAAAAGACACGAGGTACATAAATCTCAGCACAGTGCTTGGCGCATACTGAATGCTGAACTATGATGGTTCCCATGACTGTGGGGCTGAAATGCCAGGCTTTGCCCTCCCTCCCTCAGCTGCACTGAACATCACAGGCGGTGAGAGAGCAAACACCCTCCAAGGTCTTATAGAGCCAGCATTCCACTGGAAGCCACACATTTTTTGCCCCCAGAGAATCCTAAGGAACAGTCAGCTCTCTGCTTAGCCTCTTGGACAATCACGAGACTGATGGTTTCTTCAAGGGAGCTACACCCACTGAGTTTTATAAATGGATATGCCTCGTAGGAGTGAACAGAGTTGGAGAAGGAAGCTGAGAATCTCCCAGTCGGTAATAAGGCATCTGCCTAGTGGCCTCCGGGACAGGTGGCTCTGTCATATTTTCCCAAGCCTGGTGGCATGGGACTCTGCTGGGCTGTGGGAGCACATGGAAATGGGCATGGCAGGTGGAGCAGCACTCAAGCAGCCTCAAGCCTGAAGACACTTTCCAAGGCTGTGTCCTCCTTATGGAGTGTAGACGTTGTCATGTTAGGGATGGGTCTTGGAGCAAGCTTGCCCCACCTGACTGCTCGGGCCGGAACCCTGCCCCGGGTATATCCATAGAGAATGGAGCCCACCGACACCAGAAAGCTGTCTCACAGAGGTTCTAGAACTCTAGACTAGAGCTCTAGGAAGGACTCCGCCTTCCTTTTTACTGAAAACACCCGCGAGAGAGGAACCTTCCAAGTGGGTCGTTGGAGACAGCAGGTTGATTAAGCACCTGCTCTTTAATCATGGTCTCCCCTGCTCCCTCGTAAACCCAAGTGCCCCCATGGTTAAAGCATAGCTGCCCTGTCACATTAGTTAGTCGGCAGCTCCTTTGGGTGTCTACAGCAATGCCTTCGAGGCTAGGTATTTCCGATCACATGTCGTAGTTCTTTCTAGCTTCCCCATAGCTGGGTGTCTAGTCAGCTACCACCTGATCGATGCCCAGGGAGCGTGAGGGCCTGCTGGGTGCTCAGGTGCCCAGGACATAGAACCGCATGCCTAGGCCTTGGGGTGTTGGGCAGCGGCCGCTCGGCCCACACCTCCTGATGGCTTCCTGGGAACCCTGGCTTCTGGGCAAGAAGTTGTCTCAGCACATCAGTGTCTCAAAAGCTGTTATTACCTCTGAGGCGCCCTCCCATTTCTGGAGCTGAGCAGCATAAATAACAATTACAATGGTGCCTAAAACACCTGGGCTATGAGATACACTAGGTGTCACTTCCCTCGGATGAGTGGAAAATTTCAGGGTAGAAGGATGCCCACGAAATACCTATTCAGAAAACTAAAGAAGAGACCGGGATGGGAGACACGTGGAGGTTCAGTAAAAAGATACCTCCTCTGGGGATGGAGAGGATCCAAGATCCCACTGAGCAATGAAATGTCACCGGGCTGTCCTGAATCGCAGGAAGCCGCCTTCTCACGGCCCCCAGCACAGCTCCATCCACCTCCTCTGCCCAGAAGTGGGCAGGAAACGGCTTCCGGGGAAGCAGAGAGCAGGGCCCTTCTTGACGCCAGCTGGAAATGAGCTTGCTGGGACAATGAGACCCATAATCCTGTTGTCAGGTGGGGAGGACACCAACAGTGTTGTGATTGTCGCTGTTCATTTACTCACATGCTGCTTCCCCTCGGGTGTCATCAACTTCTATTTTTACCCCCCTTATCCTTTGGTTAATAATGCTGACAAACCCCCAGAGGAAAGGACTCCAAGCAGGTGGAAGGAAGGGTGACTTGTTCAGCTTCACCACTCTCTGGAGCCAGCCGGCCATTGCCGAGCGGGGATGTAGGGCCGTGAACCGCATACCCACGGGCAGGTGTCCTGTCTGATTTGAGGCCAGCTTCCCCATTAGTGAAAGTCCATTAGGCACTCTCCTAATAATCCTGAGGTCGCTATAGACTCTGTGTTTTATTAAGCACAAAGTGTCCTCAGAGACAGGTGTGCTACATAAATACAAGGTGGTTTAATTATCTTAACAACCCACTGATACCATCTGATGAGCAACAGTAGGTCTGTGGCTTCCGTCCCTCTGCTGCAAATGATGTTCCAGGACATCTGGTTAACATGCTCCCTTCCCTTCCCGTCACCCCCACTGGCGCAGATCCATATGTCAAAGTGTCCCTGATTTGTGACGGACGGAGACTGAAGAAGAAGAAGACAACCATAAAGAAGAACACTCTTAATCCTGTCTACAATGAAGCCATCATCTTTGATATTCCCCCAGAGAACATGGATCAAGTCAGCCTGCTCATCTCGGTTATGGATTATGATCGGTAGGTGCAGGTCCCAGAGGGCCACGGTTCCCTGCCTCTCACCCCCATGCCAATGCAGTACAGGGTTTCCTGGCCGTGGGCCTTGTGGTTTGGGGCTCAGGAGCCCATTGGCCTCAAATCTGGCTCTACCCAAGAAGGGTGCAGAAGTTTGAGGAAGAGCATGGATACCCTTGAGCAGGAGCTCAAGCTTTGCTTCCCAGCAGGCCCATTTCTGTCAGGGCCTCATCCACCCATCAGTTTCCCTGAATTCGCCCCTGCTGGTTCCTGTTCCTCCATCTGGCACCAAGTCCAATCACCTGGCCTCTCCATTTCTGATGCTGCTACCATTCCCACTGAGGGATGGCTGTGCAGCCTCCCAGCTGACCCGAGCCAGCCAACGCACGAGAGGCACGCCTTCCTAAAAGACCACTTTCTTCTGGGACCTGCCCTGTCCCAAGAACCATCAGTGGTTCCTGTTAATTCAGGCCCTTCCCCTGGTTTCTCAAGGCCTTCCAGAATCTGGACCCTGCATAATCATCCAACTTAATTTCCCCTTCCTTGCATGGATTTCTTCTCTTCCACTTACCCAAATCCTCTCTTCCAACAAGGCTGGCTCAAAAACGTTTTCCTTTTTTTTTTTTAATGTTTTATTTATTTATTCATGAGAGAGAGAGAGAGAGAGAGGCAGAGGCAGAGAGAGAAGCAGGCTCCCCGCCTAGCAGGGAGCCCGATGCGGGACTCGATCCCAGGACCCCGGGATCATGACCTGAGCCGAAGGCAGACGCTTAACCATCTGAGCCACCCAGGCGCCCTCAAAAACGTTTTCCAATGCCCCCACTCCCCACCCCCAGCCACCATGACTCCTTCTATCCAGTTGTCACTCCAGCTGAAGGAGAAACAAACAAACAAACATGCAGTAAAGCCCCTACCCAGGATTTTTAGCACAAGTTCTCAGGCATAGTAGGTGCTCACTGAACATATTTCGGTGATGACTGATGTTCTTGCTGAGTGAATAAATCACATTCTAGCCGTTGGGGGTGTGGAGAAATGGTGCTTAGATCAGGGTGATTTATTTCCAAATGCCAATGTCTCGAGCGAGGATATGATGTGCTAGCTGAGTCAAAGAAGGGTAAAGACTGAAACTCTCCCTTTGCCCAAAGTCAGGCCATCTGCCCACCATTTCCTGAGATTCCAAAGTGGTTTATAATCTTTTTGTCATCTGTCTGAGTCCATGTCCACCCAAGGAGGCTGGGCAAAGTTTCACTGTCACTGGCACTCTGAGGCCCTGCCAAGCATCTCTTTTCAGAGCTCAGCATTCTGAGTTAGACCTGCCGGGCAGAATCCCAGACTCCAGGACCCTTCCCCTTCTGACAGCATGTCTGGTCAGTAGCAGCTCTGGGGCCTTTGTTTCTCCCCCAGAGTGGGCCACAATGAGATCATAGGAGTCTGCCGCGTGGGGATCAACGCTGAAGGCCTGGGCCGGGACCACTGGAACGAGATGCTGGCGTACCCACGGAAGCCCATCGCACACTGGCACTCCTTGGTGGAGGTAAAGAAATCCTTCAAAGAGGTGGGTGAGGTCGTGCTCGGCCCTTGGCATGTTTGCCGCATGGCCGCTCGGGCTGGAGAATGGCAGTCGGCAGCTGTGTGACCTCGCCTGCGTGGGTCCTTCCCAGGGTGCGTAGGGGCTCCATGCTTCTCGCCCAGTGTATAAGCAGCAGGAGGGAGATGGAGGAGGACAGGGGGAAGCTGCCTGACAGAAAGCCTCGGATGTCGAGCACATTGAAAGCGACACTGAGTTCTATAATTTTTTTTTTTTTAAAGATTTTTATTTATTTATTCATGAGAGACAGAGAGAGAGAGGCAGAGGGAGAAGCAGGCTCCCAAGGAGCAGAGAGCCCGATGCGGGACTCGATCCCAGGACCCTGGGATCATGACCTGAGCCTAAGGTAGACGCTTAACCATCTGAGCCACCCAGGCGCCCGACACTGAGTTCTAAATAGAAAATTAAAACTCGGAGGAAGCCTGCCCAGCGTCTCCATGGTGCCAGGCCCGGAATGCTTTCAGAGCACTCCCCCCACCCCCGGGCCAAGTCGGTCCTCGGGGAGAAAGCCCCAAGAGGGTGAGATCAGAACTTGGCAAGAAATTCTACCCCTGTCGAATCACTATGTTCCCTGAGGCTCTAGCCAGGCAGTCCCAAGGCAGTCTTCACGGGCTCCATGCAGGTGGCCAGACACAAGACCCTGCAGCCATGAATGCTGCTTCTCCCATTGCTGGAGAGAGAATGGCTTCGAGGTATCACGCTCTCTGACAGGATCCCAACAGAGACGTAACACATGGAGCACTGCGGAGGAGGCCTGAGGCTTGGGCTCCAATCTGGGCCCCTTCGGACTTGCTGTACAATCTTGGGCCAGTCATTTTTCTCAACGGCAAAGGAAATGTCCCTTCCAGTGATACTGACAGTCAGGTCCCCTCCACCAAACTCCACCAACGTGAGATCCTTCAAATTATCGTCCTGGTGGCTCCCAGGCCTGCTTTTTCTCCAAGGGGCTGGGATGTGGGGTAGCCAGGCAAGCCTGAAACCTCATTTTGAGGCTCTCATACCCCAATCCAGATCCTAAAAAGCCAGGTGGTTGTTTGTTCGTCCTAGGCTTCAAGCCTAGGAAGTCTAGAGTCTAAAATTGGAAAATCTACTGATAAAAAATAAATAAATAAAGCTTTCATCCTTACACCACATGGCCCCTCAGCCTAAAAGCAGTCACCTTAAAAACAGAGTACAGTTGACCTTTGAACAACACAGTCCAAATTGTGTGGGTCCACTTGTGTGTGGATTTTTTTTTTTAAATAAATACAGCACAGCACTGTAAATGTATTTTCTCTCCCTTATGACTTTCTTATAACATTTTCTTTTCTCTCGCTTTATTGTAAGAATGCAGTATAGAATTCCCATAACATACAAAATATGTGTTCATTGACTGTTTATGTTATCGGTAAGGCTTCCGGTCAACAGTAGGTGATTAGTAGTTAAGTTTTGGGAGAGTCAAAGTCATATCGGATCTTTGTGCCCCTAATCCCAATGTTGTTCAAGGGTCAACTGTAATCCCTTCTTCGGGCTCTGGGACACAGGGAAGATGTGGGCAACAATGCCAGAGGACCTGTCAGCTCTCCCTTCTCTTCTTGGTGTGGCCAGGCCTGTTTCTCCCTGCTTCCAGCACTGTGAGGTGTCTTAGGAGAGACTGAGGGCTGTGGGGGAGAGAGGGTTCCGGGAGGCAGGCTAATTGATTTACCTCCTGAGGTGGGCATGCCTTCGAGGCCAAGCATGAGAAGTAAGGCATAGACACAAAGTTCCTGTTCATCGGAAGCCTCCTGTTTCTATCTTGTGGTTGCCTTGATTTTACCACAGCTGTGAAGCTTGAATGACGGTCCCTCAGCTCTCTGGCTCCCTTCCCCCAGGGGAGCCTCTGCCCCCTCTTATGCAGAAAGCTCTCTCTGCAGGGTGTGGGTGAGGTACCCACAACCAGCCTCTGCCTCCACAGGAGGCAGCTCCTGGACGGAACTGAGGATGACCTGGGGACCACACCTGGCACCTCACTGAATGCAGGCTTGATTCAACCAAGGGAGGGTGCCACGCCCCCTATCCCCTCTTAAATCCCTTGGAGATATTTAAGAGTAGAATAAGCAAGCATACTAAAATGTTCAGGATGGTTTAGGGGCAGGGACATGTAAGATAAGTGGCCCCGATGGGCTACAAGGCTTCAGGCAACTCACTGCCCCCTCTGGTCTCCAGTTTCCTGGTTGGTAAATGAGGGGGTGTCGGTTCCGTCATCTCTGCTTTTCTAGGAAACTCTGACCCTAAATGATGACGGGTGGAGCCAGTGAGCCCTCACGTGTTACCAGCTCAGGGAGATAACCCTCCCCACGTAACTGGGCCACTCTGTCCACACAAACTGAAGCTACCGGCCAGGGGCGGCTGGAGTTGGGGGTGGGTGCAGGGAGCACAGAGGTGCCAGCACTCGGTTCCAGAATCACTCCGTGATGAATACAACCTAATTAAGCCAAATAATTGATTTCAAGTCCTATTCCTTTGAAAACTCTGACTCACTAGTCCAGACTACAAAAGAAAGAAAGATAAAGTAGACTCAAGCCCTTGAAAATGAATATTTGATGAGACAGTAAAGGGAAAGTAACAGTATATGGAAAACGAAAAGAGAATAAATTGATTCATGTCCTTTGGGTTTACTTTTTTCTTGACCTCGCACATCAAGCTCCCGAGCCTGCCCCTCCCCCTCTCATTATGCTACCATTTTCTGCCCAGCTGACCATTTTTCTGTATGAAGAAGCTGAAAATGACATTCATCTTGGCAACCTAGGATTTCACCTACACTTTTAGCACCCACAGTTTAAGTATCCTCATAAAACTGCATCTAAAAACCTACCAGGCAGATACAAAGTAAACCCTCTGTGGGCTCAAGTGATGCATTGCACTCGAACATCTATCACCTCAATCACCCTTAGAGCTCCCATCTTGCCTCCTCGCTTTTGTTCTGGACATCGAGCAAGAACCTTGCTCCTAGAACTTATTTCCCCCATTTGTATCCTACATAAAGAAATCTCACTCTCCCGCTCCCGGGAAGATAAACGGCATCGCATCTATAAAGCACTCTCTATGTAAGTTGTACCTTTCTTCGAGGAGTTTCGAGTGCTGTGATCATTTCTTTTTTATTAATGAGAACAGAGGGCACCCTACTTGCTCGCTTGTTTGGGGTTTTAAAATAAGGTTGAGGGGAACAAATGAACTGAAAAGGTATTTTTCCCTGCTGGGATGTTTTCGCGAGTAGAAACTGATCAAGCCCCAGCGAGCATCCTTTCCGGCAGCAGCGGCAGTGGTCCCCTTCCCTCTGAGCACCCCTGCCCGGGGCCGCCTGTCATTGCTGTCACCCACCCAGAGCCGAGGCCGACCAGCAGCCTTCTCCAAAGGCATTCTATCAGGAAGGGCCAAGTGGAGATCAGCTTCCAGAGATTTCAGATCTCTGAGCGTGACCCATCGCAGAACAACAGAAGGTCTTACTGGAACACAGACGTCCTGGAACAATCACCTTCCTGGGTGCCGGGGAGGGCCGGTCTTTGGGATTTCAGAGCCACCATGATAAGCCTGCTGGAATCAGTCACCATCCCATTGTCCACGAAACCCCTTTCCCTCCTCTGTTTATCTTCACAGAAACAATCAGGGACTGCCAGGGAAGCCAGTGTGCCTTCCTCATGTGTCCTGGATTAGCAATTACGCTCCGCATGACTTGGGCTATTATATAAAGAAGAGAGAGGTACTCTGTGTGGCCATCTCGCTTTTTCTCCTCTGCACTGGCCTATCAGTCAGATTGTTTAAGTGGCATGCTTACCCAGGGGAGAAGCCAGTAATTACATGTACCTTTCACCAACACTACAGGCTGGCGCAGAAAAAGTGGAATCCCTAAAACAAAGGTGTGTTGAATGAGAACATTGGTGATCATCTTGTGTCACCTTCCGGTTAAGAAGCACTTGAGTCAGAAGTCACAGTGGGCTCAACAACCAGGCACTTATTTATTTAAAATATTTCACCAGGGAAACCCTCGGTTGTGATTTCATTCACGTGGACGCTGCACGCAGAGAGACTGCCACCTGGAGTTAGGAGTAAGTACCCGGTGTGGACCCGAAGAGGTTAGGCTTCCTCTTACACTGTGTGTCTCCTTCTCCCCTTGCCGTGGCCAGATGCTAAGGTGGCAGCAGGATGGAGCGGAAGGAGCAGTGAGTTGGGAGTCAAGAGACCTGGTTTCACATCCTGGCTCTGCCCCTAACCAGTTGTATCTTGACTTCTCTGTTTCTTGGTTTTGTTATGGGCAAGAACTAGAGAGTTGACTGGATGATGCCCTGGGACTGCCCCCAGGTCCAGCATGCTGAGATTGTTCTGGCCTAGGGCACCTACTGGTGCTCATCCATACCTGGTGGTCCAGCATTGGGTTAGTTGTAAAGATCTGCCGGTTGGCCTGCACAGGGACACTAAGGGACTGAGCCCAGGGAAGTTGACAGAGGCTTTCTGTAGAAGTGGGAGTGTGGAAATGTTCCACAGGTCTGGGTCTCTCCTCAGCACTGTGGGTTTCCAGTAGGAAACGCTGGCTGACAAATGGTCTCCTCCTTAGGTGGTTCAGCTCTGTCTAGAAATGGCTGTGTTGTGGGGAGCACGGCATCCTTCCCCCTCCCGCCCCCATTCGTGCACAAATGCATAGGGCAGCTTCTACTCGGTCCATCATTCCATAATGGAGACCCCGGAGCTCAGGGGGCACAGAGGAGGCTGTACTTTGGCTCAGAAAGGCCACCTTGACCACCTCCCTGACTCCCTCCAGAGCCCTGTCCCACGGATACCTGGGAGAGGTTTGGGTCTCCTCAGCTCCCAAGAAGGATGGAATGAGCAGTGGACAATGTCTCACTTTGAAGTTACACGGCTCCAAGATGGGTCAAGAATATTCCCGGGGTCAGATCTTTGTCCAGAACACAATGCTCCAGCATGACTGGCTTTTCAATCTAAGGAAGGGGCGAATGGCTCAGGTGCGGGCGCCCATCCATCCTCAGCCCTCTCCTTTGCTCCGTTATGCCTCATTGCAACACCCACCTCAACAGAAGGGTCAGGGTGGGGCTGACGGGACGACCTGTGAGGTGGGAGAAGGCAGGGGATGCTCCGGAAAGGGGAAGGGGCTGCCTGCCTCACACCCCCACATCCTCGCAAGGTGGGCATGAATGCCCCCATGAAGCATTAAGCCTGAGAAAGAGAGCCAGACGCTAAAGCAGTATCAGGTTTGTAGCTGTACTAACAACTCCCAGACAATTGCTAATAATTCATGATCGTGGGTTCTTGGCAATAAGGGCACACTCTGTAGACTGCCTCTTTCCCTGCTAACATAAGCCGATTTTCAGTGTGAGAAATGGCTGAAGCACTCAGAAATGGTCCAGTCATAGCACCTCATTAACACACAGACACACACACACACACACTGCACATAGTGGAGGAAGCTTTCATTATCTCTGCAGTAGGTCTTTTTTTTTTAATCAGGTATCCCAAACTAGAAGCTCTACAGCTCTTTTCCTTCTGTTTTTGCATGGCTGACAGCAAAATTCAAGTGAGCTTATGAAAAGCCGGGAAAGGTGAATTCAGTGCATGGGCCGGAGAAGTTCTGAAAGTTGAAATGCAAGTCCCCTTGGCCATTGATAACCCCCCTTCTCCCCTCTCCGCAGTGGCAGGGCCGGGCTGCCAGCTTTGACAGCGAGAGCTCGTGCCCGTCTCCGAAACCACCTCCCACACCATGAGCCGCGCGGCCGGACGCCACCAACGGGACTCAGCGATGTTCTTTTTGCACTCGTCCCACCGTCCGAACAGTGTTGCGCAGGGGCAGCGGTGGCCGTAGCACGAGTCTTAACCGCTCCTGTGTAGGTCAAGGCCAAGACCCTTGTCGTGTGGCCAGACCTGTCTTAGTCTTTCTTGTCTCCCAAGGTGATGTTTTCTGTGGTTTTCACTTTTTATGGATCGGCTGCCAAGAAGGGAAGGGGGGAAGAGTAGGAGAGAAAGAAGAGTGGAGAGCCCAGAAGCTGGTTCATATGAAATACAATGTAAAATAGTTGTCTTTCCCGGGGGACGTGGTTTGAGTTCCTGCAGTGTTGTGTCCCCACCAAGCTCCACAAGCCTGTAGAAGAAGGACATGGGATGGAGCCACGGCTGCGTCTGCAGTGGCCTGCAGAAAGATGCAAATCGGGCCAAGAGCCTTTACAAGGCGCGCTGTGACCCTGGGAAGCTCATCGCCGCTGTGACACAGACCGAAGTGTAGGCTCCTGGTCCTACGGTGAAATCACGAGTGCTCCGAGGTATCCTCGCACCTTCCGCAGGTCGTGCAGGGCTCCTCCCCGCCCCCCTTTCCTTGTTGACTTTCCTCATCATCTGAAAATGTCTTGATCCCTCGTGGGAACTTAGTCCCTTTCTTTAGGAATGGTTCTGCTGAAACTAAACATGCTGTATGTTTTCTGGCACACCACATTTAACGACCACATTTGTTTGAATACGGGATCTTTGTTCTCAAAAATAACCTTCGTTGTAAAGAAGAGAAGGCACACGTGTTCCAGAATGACTTCGGTGTTATGCGTAGCTTTACTAATCCCATGAAGTATCAAGCAACTGTTGAAAATGCCTAAATAGGTCAAAGAAACACCTAGATAAAATGTTCTTTGGGGAACGGGGAGTTTTAATCCAAGTCATAGCTGGAATCCATCTTTCCGTGACGAGAATCTTCTTGATTGAAACAAAGTCAGCTTAAGCCTATTTCAGCCCCCCTGACTCTGGGACAATATCCATCTTAAACTTTAGTTCTATAGATTACTAAGTACTTCAGTGTTTGTTTCAGTGGTAGTGAAGATTTTTTGGGTTTTTTTCCCTTTAGATCTCTACCTTAGGCCAAATTCAGTTTAGGAAAAAAAACATGTTTCAACTCTTCTGTATTGTAATAGTATGTTTCTGTTGAGTTCATATTGGTCTTCCCACCAACCACCTATAACTCAGTTGATTTGCTCAATCTCAGTCTGTACAGCCCTGGTAAATTCGTGGAGGTGAGTTTCTACTTTATCTGTGACTACACAATGCCAACTTCCAGAGTTGTGTGTGTGACTTGCAAGAGGCAAGTCTGCTGAAGAACACCTTCTTCCACCAATGGAAGGTCAAGAAGGGAAAAGCTATTCACACACCTTGTGTCTTACTCTTTATATATGTCACATGCTTCAGGAGCAGAAACTCAATAAAGTAACCCTCACCTTAAGCCAAGTTATCAGGTTTCTCTGCTGATATAACTTTAGGCAGTGTCTTCTACCCAAAGTTCAGATGGGCATGAGGATGACCAGGATATTGTGGCCAGAGATGTTTTCAGCTTAGAAAAGTAAGGGCAGATAAACCAAACTCCACTCGGTACTGAGCCTTAGGCTAGGAGCTAATGTGTCATTGGTATAAAGATAAGTTTTCTCTCCAAATGTCTTACGATTGATAGGCCATCCTAGTCAGGCAGTACTGCAGCTGGATATTCTTTTGAGAGTGAGGGAGAAAACCCAAAGTCATGCATGGCAAGACTCAGAGCAGGCCATAAACTTCATTCTGTCTCTTGACTCTAGACTGACCCCGTCAACGACACAGCCAGCTCGATCACTGAGCAGATGTCGTGGGTCCTGCAACTAGGAAGGGGACAGTTGAGTTTCCTGGGTCATGAGCAGCCCAGAAATGAGTGTGAGAGGGCGTTTCCAGAAGTGATCTCAAAACGCATATCCAGCTGCCATCTTCATACCCCTAGACACATGAGGATGACCACTCGACTCTTTTGGAGGAGGGAGTATGATCGGTGTGAATCTCATGGAATAGTTACTGCTCTCAGATATTCCTTTTATGTCCAAGCAGCTAACTCACACAGAGTGAACCTCCCAGTGGTTTTGGGAAATCATTTCCTGAGCAGATTATGGTCAGCCCCACACCACCTACCCAACTGCCACCGCTCCCATTACAGCAGTCTTGGTAAATTTCTACAGGCTGGGAAGCCTACCCCAGGGAAGCTCTCGGCTCCAGGAACCCCACCCCCAGTGTCTTCTGGGGGGACTAGTCCTCAACCCAAAGCATGAATGAACCTGAATGTCTGCCAACTTCATTATCTAGCCCAATACCTCTTCCTCGAAGATGAGAATAAAATGAATTGCAAATTTCAGAATAAAATGAAATACAAAGTCGATTCATTTGTTAGCTTCTCTGCCGCGAGAAACCTTTCTTGGGTTGGTGTTTTGAGCTTTGCTGAAGTCATGATAACCTGGGCCTTTTGCATATTGATGTTTTTTAAAAAATGCAAAGTTCCCTTCTTTATTTAGCAGTTTTTCTGGGCTGAAAAAGGCCGCCCCCTTCCTTCGCATACTCAGGATATTAATTAATTGCAACATCATTTAAAAAATTGTTGTTAATTATCGCTTCATGTCTCCCACCCCTGTCACAGCCTGGAGTTTTTATTCAATTAAATCTCTGTCTCTTGCCCATTTCTCTCGTCATCGTATGTTCCCAAGGTTTAGCCGTCCGCATACACACAGGACACCACACAGCTTTCATCTTTAAGCTTTGTTTCACATAGATAGCCACTTCCCTTCCATCGAAGGTACAGCGGAAGGGCTTGTTTGTTTTTAGTTCTGCCCAAGGAATACCTGCATACCCCATAAAGCTGAAATCCACCTGTGTTTTGTCAGGCTTATGGCTCACAGAGCATTTGGTGCGTGGGGCTGTGCTGTTTCCTCAGCTGCTCAGCGCAACGAGCGGCCCCTGCAGATGCCCAGGCTTCTCTAGGGAAGCGGGTTGCACGCTCATAGCTGGAAAGTGCAACACTTTCGCCCACCAGGGGAGGAATCCTGCTAACTCTCATAAAACACCACTTGGCCGAGTGAGGAGAAAATCCTACCGCAGACTCGAACATTTAAAAAGAACATTCTGACTTAATAGAATATCCTCTGTGCTCACCCCCAGCTTTTAATTTAGGAAGCAGCCCATAGAGAGGAGAGTGGAAGGTACCGTCCGCTCTTGCGCATCTGCATCTAAATTACTGGCACTCCACAGTGAGATGCCACCGAGGGAGCTGAACTGCTGAGGGAAGCACTTTGCTTCGCAAACACACAGCCTCCCCTGGCTTCTGCCTGCCATCGGGTCACCCATCAACAGGCGGGGCCCGGTGATGCGGCTGGTATCTAGAGCGGATCAAGTGACAGGGTAAATGTGTCTGGCTGGTGGGCTGGGTTAGGCAGCCTAACAACCTTCGGACTTCAGTGGCTGAGAACAACAAAGGCTTACTTCTCATTCGTGCTCGTGCCCGTCACAGGTCAACAAGGGGGAGCTCTGCTCATCAGATTTATTCGGCCGGGGTGGGGGGGTGGGGGAGTGGAACTCAGGATGACAAGAACAGGCAACATCCCAAACATGGCTCGTTGCCACGCCTGAGGGAAACGAGTGCTCTGAAGCCTCTCCTATTGGCCTCAACACTGTGGTCCAGGGGAGACACATGTCCCTTTCTTTCCCAGTTCATTGCCCACCACTACTCATGTGGCCTCCCAGAACACAGGGGTTCAAGCGCCCTGGGGACGAAGGACTGGAAATCACTGGTTAGCACTTGGGGTGATCACAGTGAAGTGAGCAGCCCCATGGAGGGTGACAGCTACTGACCAGCTGATTCAGAGAAACAAAGAGAAGCTACAGTCCATTCACTGGTGCATGAACTCAAGGACTAGATTGAGCCCCATGACTGGGCCAGCCTCGGACTTGAACATTGCCCACAAAAAGCTTTAGTCTAGTAAATTGGCAACGTAAGGAACTAGAGTCCGAGGTAGAAAGTGGTGAGTGCAGGACAGGAGGTGAAATAGAAAGCTCCAGAAGCCCAAGAAAACGTATCACTGCAGGGCAGAATGACAACTTCAGGAGGGAGGGGGCATCTGCTCCAGAGCTTTTAAGGATGGGTAGGAGTCGGGGTGGGGAAGTCGTGAGGAGGGGGCACATTCCGGGCTGAGGGGTCCATACACCACACCACCAGGCTGCAGACCTGGCCCCTGCCTCGTTCTTGCCGACTGCCTCCGCGAGATGGGCCTGCTGCCCCTCCTCCCTCCACTGCTGGCTTGGCTTCTGCTTCCAGGCGGGCTCATACCCCCGACCTGCAAGATCTGCCTGACTTTGAGACTCTATCTAGCTGCCACCCCCCATCCACTCACCCAGCCTCCCCTCCTCAGGCTGTTCTGTAGCCACAGGCCACTCGGGACTTCGTGATTTGTCCGGTGTCCTGCTCCTCTTTGCAGCGAGCCCCATCCAGACGTCTGATGCCCTAGGACGGGGAACAGGCCTGGCCTCCCCACAATGGCTTTCCTCTGGCTGGTTCACAGCGGCACTCCGAGCACGGCTGTGGCAAGCCCACCAGCAGAGATGGGAGGCCAAGAGGCTGGCAGGCAGTTGCAGCCGTTCACCCAGGAAGAGGTGGAGGGCTGATCTAGGCAGAGGTCCCACACAGGGAAAGAAGGGCACCTGTACGGGACATGGTGGACACAGATGGACCACACAGCGGGACTGGCGACTGAACAGATCTGGAAGGCAGGGAGAAGGCAGGGAGATTCAAGAGTGTTGAATGTTCTCACCCTTGAGGCACCAGAAAAATGATGGAGCCTTCCACAGAAACCGGAGACTCAACAGATCGAGTCTGTTTGGGCTCAATGATGAGTCCGGTTTGGGCCAACTGAATTTGAGATGCAGCAGGGATGTGCAGCAGACAGCCGTAGTTCGAGAAGCAGCTTGGCAGAGAGGTCGGGCGTGAGATGTTAATTTATAGGAAGCTTACACACCAGAATGAGATGTGAAGACAGGAGGCTGACATGGCCACGTGGGTACAAGCAGACAAGGAGAGTCTCAAAGAGGGCTTCTTCGGGAACCATCAAGATTTAGAGGTCAACAAAAAAGAAAGTGATGTGAATAATAATGGAGGTGTGCCCGAGCAAAGCTGATCGATGAGGATGCGGATGAACAAAAACAGATCAGTCAAGGGCCTCGTAAAATGATTCTTCACAAGTTCATCCAAAGTGCTTGAAAATCACTTGACTCACAAGTCTGTTTTCACCCACGTTTGCAGGGACCCACCTCTTTCTTCCCCTTGCCTCTGCTTTTGCCTTTTGTGTGTGTGCATGTGGGGTAAAATATACTTATCTTCAATTTACCATTTTAATCCTTTTTTAAGTGTACAGTTCAGCGGTTTTTAATATATTCACATTGTTGGGCAACGCTCACCACCAGCCATCCACAGAACTTTTCTCATCTTGCAGAACTGAAACTCTGTACCCATTAAACCGTCCCCTTCCCCTCCTTCCCCCCACCTCCCAGCCCCTGGCAACCACCATTCTGTTTTCTGTGTCCATGAATTTCACTACTCCAGGTACCTCATGTAAGTGGAATCATATCATATCTGTCCTTTTGTGTCTGGATTATTTCACTTAGCAGAATATCCTCAAGGTTGACCCATGTTATATAATATGTGTCAGAATTTCCTTCCTTTTTAAGGCTGAATAATATTCCATTGCATGAATATACTACATTTTGTTTTCCATTGATCTTTCGGTGGACCTTTGGGTCCCTTCTACCTTTTGACCATTGTGAATAATGCTGCTGTGAACGTGGGTGTACAAAGATCTCTTCCTGTCTCTGCTTTCAGTTCTTTGAGGTATATACTCAGAAGTGGAATTGCTGGGTCAGATGGTCATTCTATTTTTAATATTTTGGGGAACTGCTATACTATTTTTCATAGTGGCTGCACCATGTTACATTCCCGTAGGCAGTGTCCAAAAGTTCTAATTTCTCTTTACCCTCACCAACACTTGTTATTTTATGTATTTTTGATGGTAGGTGTCATAATGGGTGTGAAGTGGTATCTAATTGTGACTTTGATTTGCATTTTCCTAATGATTAGTGATGTCAAGTATCTTTGCATGTGCTTATTGGCCATCTGTATATCTTTTTTGGAAAAATATCTCTTCAAGTCCTTTGTTCATTTTTTAAAAAACTTTATTAAGTTTTAAATTTTACTTCCAGTAGGGGCGCCTGGGTGGCTCAGTTGGTTAAGCGACTGCCTTTGGCTCAGGTCATGATCCTGGAGTCCCGGGATCGAGGCCCTCATCGGACTCCCTGCTCGGCAGGGAGTCTGCTTCTCCCTCTGATCCTCCCCCCTCTCGTGCTCTCTCTCTGTCTCATTCTCTCTCTCAAATAAATAAATAAAATCTTAAAAAAAAAATATTTACTTCCAGTGTAGTGAACACACAGTGTTATATTAGTTTCAGGTACACAATATAATGATTCTATGCTCATTTTTAAATTTGTTTTGTTGTTGTTGATTTTTTTGGATTCCTCTATATATTTGAGATATTAATCCCTTATCAGATTTATGATTTACAAATACAGTATTGTCTTCCATTCTGTGGGTTGCTGTTGATCATGTCCTCTGATGCACAAAGTTTTAAATTTTGAGGTAGTCCGATTTGTCTACTTTTTCTTTTGTTACTTGTGCTTTTGGTGTCGAATCTGAAAAATCTTGCCAAATCCGATGCCATGATACTTTACCCCTATATTTTCTTCTAAGAGTTTTATAGGTTTAGCTCTTACACCTAGGTCTTTGATCCATTTTAATTTTTGTATAGGTTGTGAGGTAGGGGTCCAACTTCATTCTTATGCACATGGATATCTAGTTTTTTCTACACCATTTGTTGCAAAGACTGTCTTTTCCCCCACTGAATGATCTTGGCACCCGTGCTGAGAATCATTTGACGATATATGTGAGAGTTTATTTCTAGGACCTCTATTCTGTTTCATTGGTCAATATGTGTGCCTTTATTCTAGTATCACATCAATTTGATTACTTGTAGCTTCTTAGTAAGTTTTGAAATCAGGAAGTGTGAATCCTCCAACTTTGTTCTTTTTCAAAATTGTTTTGGCTACTCAGGGTCCCTTAGTTACCATATGAATTTTAGGATGAATCTATTTCTACAAAAAAAAATGGGATTTTGATGGGGATTGCATTGAATCAATAGATAGTTTCAGGTAGTATTCACAGGGCTTCAACTTTTGAGGACACTATAAAGTATGCTATAGGAATCACCT